TAACGGGCGAGCTGAATCTCGAGTGTCCGCCCATTGATGAGCCAGACTGGTAAGCTCTGCTCGCCGATCAGAATACCCTAAAGCATAAGGGCGAGTGTCCTACACCACCCCACGGTAGAGAGAGGGCTTCGAGCAACAGAAGTCTGTACCAGGGACACTTGAGGTTGATAAATATGAGCAAAGATATTTGTTCCATCCTTCTGTAACAGTCTTGACTTCATCTCTCCAAGATGACTGATTGAAGGTGGATGGATGCATGGATGGATAGGCGGATGGATGGATGACAGTTGGAGGAACGGATGGATGGATGGATGGGTGGATGACAGGAGTGGATGGATGGATGGATGGATGGATGGATGGATGGATGGATGACAGGAATGAATGGGTGGATGGATGGATGGGTGGATGACAGAGTAATGAATGGGTGGATGGATACATGGATGGATGACAGTTGGAGGAACGGATGGATGGATGGATGGATGGGTGACAGAGGAATGGATGGATGGATGGATAGATGGATGGATGACAGGAGTGGATGGATGGATGGATGGATGGATGGATGACAGGAACGAATGGATGGATGGATGACAGGAGTGGATGGATGGATGCATGATGGAGGAATGAATGGGTGGATGGATGGGTGACAGAGGAATGGATGGATGGATGCATGACAGGAATGAATGGGTGGGTGGATGGATGGATGACGGAGGAATGAATGGATGGGTGGATGACAGGAACAGATGGATGGATGGATGGATGACAGTTGGAGGAACGGATGGATGGATGGATGGATGACAGGAGTGGATGGATGGATGGATGGATGGATGGATGGATGGATGACAGTTGGAGGAATGGATGGATGGATGACAGAGGAATGAATGGGTGGATGGATGATAGGAGTGAATGGATGGATGGATGGATGACAGGAATGAATGGGTGGATGGATACATGGATGGATGACGGAGGAATGGATGGATGGATGACGGAGGAATGGATGGATGGATGGATGGATGGATGACAGAGGAATGAATGGGTGGATGGATAGATGACACAGGTGGAGGATGGATGGATGGATGGATGGACAGATGAGAGATGGTTCCTGTACTCTTGGAAGGAATAGAAATTTCAGTGAAATTGAGTACCTGTACTCAGGAAACCTTGCTTAGCTAGGAGACATCCCTGTGTTAAGACTGCACAAGGTCATGTCACTTCACCCCGCACACCGCACACCTCCTGCCCCCTTTCCAACAGGTTATCTTGAGCCTAGCAATGTTTCTGCAGCTATGTGCCTCACACCCAGATTCCTGGGCCCACCTCCGAGGCTCGGGGTAGGGCTTGAGGTTTGGGGCTCCTGGGGGATCCGTGTACCGCCGATGTAGCGACCAGAGCAGAGACTGTCTTTCATTGCCAGACTGGCCGGCCTGCCTCCCGACCGGGCGGGGGAGTTGGGCATTGAGCACTTCCTCGGCTTTGCAAATTGGTGACCTCCAGACTGCCTGGAGACCCCGCTGAGGTGCAGATTCTGGCTCAGTAGGGATTCGGTATTTCTAGCAGGTGCAGTGTGGCTGGGCTTGCAGCTGTGCGAAGCAGAGAGGGACCGGGCAGCTGTGAATGCCGCTAGAGCCCGGGATTGAACCTGGGAAGCCCACCTTCATCACCACCCAAGGCACCCGGCCCCGTGCCCTTGCGCTCGGTGGCAGCTAACAGAAAATCCACCCAGTGGTTCCGCGGAAGCCTATTTGTCCCGAATAACCCAAAGCCCAGAGTTCGGGCGTCGCTGGGGTCCGTTCCGTTGCCAGCAGAGGCCGCCGTAGTGTGTCCTCGTGCGGCTGCCTCGTGACCTCAAGGTGGCTGCTGCTGTCCCAGGTCGTGGCTTCATGCTCCACTCAGACGAAAGGAGGGCAGGGGGCGCGTGGCCTGAAGCCAACAGCCCGTCTCTCTGTCAGAAAAGTGAACGCTTTTCCGCAGACTGCACGGAGCAGACTCCCGCTTCGGTCCCCTGGACTAGCCCCGTGTTCCTCAGCCACCGCTTGCCGGAAGGGGCCGAGAAAACTGGGGGTGCGTGAGAGACAGCCGAGCCGGGTGCCCTGCCCGAGTCGTCCCTGACACCTGCTGGCGGAATCTTCCAGAGTACGCTCTCTGCTACCCTTGCACGTTAGGGGAGGCTGTGCCACCCCGGTCAGACCAGAGAGACCTGTGCTCCCGCTCGTTGCTCTGACCGTGGCCACGGCCCATGCTCTCCGGGCCTTAGTTTTAGGGCCTGTGCAGTGGGGGTTAGAAACCACCTCACAATGCTTCCCTGAGCTCGCGTCTGCGGCCCACCCAACAGGGGAACGGCTGTCACTCGCAAGCTCCCTCTGTCCAGAACGCCTCCCCCAGCTTTTCCCCGGGGGGGGCTCACTCATGTGTTTAAGACCCACCTCTCCTGGGGCCCCCGGGGGCTCAGTCGGTTGAGCATCCGACTTCGGTTCAGCTCACGATCCCACGGTTCGTGGGTTCGAGCCCCGCGTCTGGCTCTGTGCTGACAGCTCAGAGCCCGGAGCCCGCTTCCGATTCTGTGTCTCCCTCTTTCTCTCTGCCCCCCTCCCCTACTCGTTCTGTCTCTCACAAAAATAAAAACGTTAAAAATTAAAGACAAAACAAAACAAGACCCACCCCTCCTGAAGAGGGGCCGCCAACTATTTATGAGCTTTGTGACGCGGCTACCTTCTGAAAGCACCGGTTGGGGTACTGCACCAGTCCAGGCACAACGGATGGTCTGTTTTCCTAGCAGCTTGTGTCGTGACCAGCTAAGAGAGCATGGCAGGCGTGGGGGACGGTGCCCCGAAGACCCGGGGACCCACACATCTGGACGTTGGAGGTAAAGCTCAACCTCGCAAAAGGGAATGTTGGAGTTTTCCATGGGAGTTAAGTCTGATGATGTGGGGACAGGGCACAGGGGCCGCCCCTGAGCTCTGTCAGTGAAAGCAGATAGAAGCCGCTGGTTAGAAGCGGCCCTGATGGGACAGAGTCCGTGCAGGGGCCTCCCCGGGAGTCATCTGGGGGCTCGGCCCCGTCCAGCTTGGCCACCGTGCGCAGTAATCACACCGCGCTGCCCTCCCCGTCCCGATGCAGTGTCACCTGCGGCCCGCCCCTCCTCTGCGTCTGCCGTCTGGCACCAGCGCTCCTGGTCTACACGGCAGAGGGGCTCTCAGGCCCGCTGCCAGGGACAAAGCCTGACACCGGGGGCCAGAGCTGTGCTGAGCCGGGAGGTGTGGAGGACAGGCGGCCCCCCCCCCGGAGGGTCGTGGCCTGCAGGATCCGTTTGTGTCCCCGAGAGCAGCGCCCCGTGTTCTGGCTCTCCCCTTCGTGGGCAAGTCGTCTGTGTCGAAGCCAAGGTGTTGATGAACCGAAATTGGTGCCGTGTACGCAGGAGCATTCTCGGAACTTGACGCTGGGGCAAACGAGGAAGAAAGCTGCTCTGCCCCAGAACTTCGCCATTTTCTGCCCCTCCTCGTGCCTCGGCAGCGCTCACGGACGGAACGCCGAGGGCTCTCCCTGCGGTCACAACTCTGTGTTCGGCTTAATGATACGGGGAACTGCAGATGAGGTGAGGATGACTTGAAAAGAAAAGGCATTATTGGTAAGTGCGCCGGAAGCCTTGCAAATTTGAGACGATAAATTGGAATTTTACAGGACTAATGAGTTTTTGAAAACCGTTCGCCAGGCTTGTCCAAACAGTCCTCTCCCTATTTAAGATTTTCTAAATTAGAAACTCAGAAATTTCATAGGTGTTTTGGTCCTGGAATGAACAAACAGCCAAAGTAGAAAGTGTGTTTCCATTTATTAAAGTTACATTGTATCCACTTCCATCATGATCACAGTGTACTATTCTTACTGTAATTGATGGTCTGTCCAGAGCACTTGCTTTATTGAGCCAAATTCTAGATACTTTGTAACCATCACTGCACTCAGCTGTCAAAAATAAGTGACTTCTAGGGGCGCCTGGGTGGCTCAGTCAGTTGAGCGTCGGACTTCGGCTCAGGTCACGATCTCACGGTTCGAGCCCCGCGCGTCGGACTCTGTGCTGATGGCTCGGAGCCTGGAGCCCCCTTGGGATTCTGTGTCTCCTTCTCTCTCTGCCCCTCCCCCGCTCGTGCTCTCTTTCTCAAAAATAAATAAATAAACATTTTGAAACATGACGAGTCCTGGAGAATTCGGGCCTGCTGCCACACCGCGGCCAGTGCCTGGAGCGGGACAGCAGCTGTCCTGTAGACAAGACACCGAGGACGTCGGGTTTCCGCCTGGCCGTCCGCACCGCGGCCCTGAGGCCCGATGTGCGCCGGTTTTCATCCTCACGCGGGACCGCTGCTTTCCCTTTACCAGCATCTGCACACCTGTACTTAGCGTGCACCTGCTCTGTGACATTTGGGCTTGCACGCCGGCTGCAGGCGACGGGGCCAGTGTTCTCGGGGCGCAATCCGTCGGCCGCCTCACTCCCTGCTTCCTACGGCACAGCGAATTCTGCAGGAAAGCCTGCCACTGGCAGCTGTGACTCTGCGGGGGGGGGGGTGCTGCCCGGGTCTCTGCCCCCCTCCCACGTGCATCTCGCCCCCGTCTCTGGGCAGCAGCTCGGTTCAAACACAAATGCTCGCCTCACGTTCATCCTTCCCCGTTCCGTTCTGTTGTTTCCTTTGCGCACGCATTTCGTACTTGCCGACACTGCAGGCAGGTGCCAAGCCGAGGTGGGGTTAGCGGAGTGGGCGCCGTGGCTCTCCCGGCCTGAGGGCTTCCTGCGAGTAGTAAGCAGGCACCTGGCAACTTTGTGCCAACCAGCAGGGGCCCCAGGCTTCACGACTTGGAAACTGCAAAGGCGCCCATCTGTACAAACGGCCTGTCTCTCTGTCTCTCTCAAATAAGCAGAGAAAAACACCGTCTTCCAACAGGAAGCCAGCCTGACCCCACAAAAACCTCCATCTTATGGAAAATGCGACCGTTTGGTAAAAATGGGTAATCAAACGTTTCCTTTGCTGTCAAGTAGTTTTTAATATCAACTGTGACTCTGAGGAGACAGAAAGGCACAGGGCCTGGCTCTTATCTGAAAATCTGAATAAATGTCCAGATTGAGGAGTCCTCTCCGCGGCATATAAGCCAAACGTGGTCTTGAGGCCCATTTTCTTCTGACTTCCTGTCGTGGAACAGCGTAGGAAGCAGGACAGAACAGAAGCCGGGCAGGCACCTGAAAACAGCGGCTGAAACTGTTGTGACGCCAGCGTTACACGTACGCCTCCCAATTGTCGCGCCTCGCTCGGCTTCCCAGAATGACACCGATGGCAGGGTCCCTCCAAACAGATGACTTTTTACGCTGAATCCATCCGGTCTGTAAGAAACAGAAACGAGATCCGACAGCTGCGTGAAGTCGGAAGCACTTTCGGCGGTGTCACCGTTTAGGCCGTGCTGCTCCCTATGCTCGAGTTCCCGTTACTGAGAAAAATTTCTGCCCAGAGAGGTGTTGTTTTGTGAGTTATGGTGACTGGATAAACCCTAGGAAAGAACAGCGTGACTCATCAGCCGCGTCCAAAACGCCCGCCCCCAGCAGAGGGCAGGTGCCCTCGCTGTCCCTCCCGACAGCGTCTCCGCTACCCGCCACCGCTTTCGAGCTTCCTTCAGCCGGGGTGATTTCTGGGGGTGACCAGCCACCTGGCCCAGGGCTCCCGGGGGCCCCACCAGCTTAAATAATGACGTGTCCAGTTATCTGTCCGTTTGGACAAACATGAGGTTCTGTGATGAAACACGCATATTTATTTATTTATTTTATTGAAAACAATTGTTTAAAGTTTATTCATTTATTTTGAGAGAGAGAGAGAGAGACAGAGAGCCTGTGGGAGCAGGGGAGGGGCAGAGAGAGAGGGAGACAGAGAATCCCAAGGAGCCTCCTCACTGTCCATGCAGAGCCTGATGAGGGACTCGAACTCAAGAACCGTGAAACCATGACCTGAGGGGAAATCAAGAATCAGACGCTTAACTGACTGAGCCACCCAGGCGCCCCGAAACATGCATATTTAAGCCAGGCTTAGAGCGAGGCTCTCTGGACACCAGCATGCTGATTTCACCAGCAACCGTGGGCCGGCCAGTGTTCCCTGGGGTCTCGCCAACACCCAGTCACGCCGACGTCCTCCCAAGACATCAGCACAGAGGTCTGGCGCTCAGAGGCCCGTGCACAGTAGGATTTGAACTCGGGCCCGGAACCCAGACTGGCACACCATTCTTTTCTCATACAGGAACAGAGGAGGACTCTCCTTTATAAGGAAACTGAAATGGAAGAATTCTCTGAGCCAGCCACATAACAAGGCCGAGGCCGGGCGCTGCTGGGTTCCTGTGTGAGAAGATACGAGGCACGCCTGTGACTGCGTAAGCTGCCCATCTCTGGGGGATGGTCCTCTGAGTACAAACAGCAAAGCCGTGTGAACCCCGGCGTGTTCGTGCCGGCAGGATCGTGGTCTGATCTGACTTGGCTAATCTCATCCACATCACTGGATCCTTATTTGAAAACATAGACGTGATCTTGAGCTGCCGGTACTCAGGTCCTGGGACAAAGGAAGGACACGACCTGCAGCCTCCTGAGGACTAAGGTCTCACGGGTCCTGGGGCCAAACAAGAACAGCGGAGAAAACCAGGGGCCTGAGTAAAGTACGGGCCTTCGGGTGTCATAACGCATTGGCGGTCTCATTAATTGTAGCAAACGTACTACACCGACGTAAAACGTCACAGAAACTAGACGTAGGGCATATGGAGAATGATCTGTACTATCTTTGCGGTTTTTCTATAAATCTAAATCCGTTTTAAAATAAACCTTTATTGGGGCGCCTGGGTGGCGCAGTCGGTTAAGCGTCCGACTTCAGCCAGGTCACGATCTCGCGGTCCGTGAGTTCGAGCCCCGCCTCGGGCTCTGGGCGGATGGCTCGGAGCCTGGAGCCTGTTTCCGATTCTGTGTCTCCCTCTCTCTCTGCCCCTCCCCCGTTCATGCTCTGTCTCTCTCTGTCCCAAAAATAAATAAACGTTGAAAAAAAAATTTTTTTAATTAAAAAATAAAAATAAAAATACACCTTTATTTAGAGTCAACTAAAAACTGAACTGAGCCGAGTCATGTGCTCTGTCATGGGTGGTGAGGGAAGCTAGGGAATCTCTCCCAGAAATACAGAGAGGATGCGCAGATATAAGCATCTGGATACATTCTGGGGGTTGCCTGACCCCAGGTCACAAGCCGTCTCCCGCACGGACAGAAGAGAGGGGCACTGGATGGGCCCCCGGACGCAGACGGCGAGGGAGAGACGGAGCGGGATGTGTTCTGCGATCTTTTCTGTGACCTGTTTGGTTGTCACACAGATTCTGTCACCTCAGGCGGCACCCAGGCTGGACCCGCCCGGGTCCTGGGAGCCCGCGGTTCAGCGACAAACCCAGGTGGTTCCTCCAAGCCTCTGGCTAAAGCTCCCTGGCCGCCTCTACACCCCCTGCGAGTTAGCGCCTACGACTGGCGTGCAGTTAGAGCAGGCCTCCAACCGACCTCCCTACCGGGTGACAGGTGTCTCAAAGTTCCACAGTGACCTCAAATCGAGCCTCCTGGGAATGTTTCAGGGAATTCTGGTACCAACAGCACGCGATTTCTGCGTAATGCACATCATCCGCCCACCGTGTTTCATGGCGCCTTCGGTACATGCTTGTGTCCCGAAAGTTTTCTTCACAGACCGAGCGATCCTCGTTTTCGGAAGACGTGGTCTTGCAACGTCCTGCGAGCGTCCCTAACACAGCCACAGCCTGAAACTGTGGCCAACGCCTGCCGTCACGTGACTGTGCGGGAACAGCTCCGGCCCGAGCGCCGCACGAGGTTTCCGACGCGCGGCACTTCCGGGAAGCACGTGAGCGGAGAGGGTCTCGCGAAATCGTGCCCGGTTCCCGGCGGCCAGCGCGCGGTGACGCGCCAAGCGAGCGCCGCGCAGAGACCTGCGCCCGGTGCCCACAGACGGCTGACCCCCCCCCCCTTCCGACACCTTCCCCCTCGCTGATCGTGGCCACCGCGCGGCCAGGACGTCGCCAGGGCAGCAAGTACCGCCACCTGGCGACATTCACGTGCACGCTGCCGATCAAGAGGAAAACCGCTGTCTGTCCGTTTCTCTGACGGAAAAGCGGCAGGTCGACGCGAGCGCTGCCATTTTGTGTTGCTCCGAGCGAAAGGGCTGCCGGGAGGCGTCAGAGGGAGACGGGAGCTGACGTCGGCGTGGTGCGATTCGGTGACTCTCTGCAGAGCGAAGCGCCGCCTTCTGCTACCGGCCGCTTGGAAGGGTCGAAACCCAAACGTCCGTGACGGCATCGGATGGCCGTTTCCGCGTTTGCTTACAGTCCCCGCGCAAAGTAAGATCTGTGTCAACTCGTGGGGGAAGTAACTTCAGAGCACGTGTCGGTGATGTTTGGGAACTTGTCAGCCCTGCGGTGTGTCCCCAGGGGGTTGTCAGTACACAGTCAGAGTCACCGAGTACACAATGGCTGGTCCCTCCACGCGGCACAGATTCTATTGTCCAGTCGCCAACTTGAGGCACGCAGAGATGACAGCGTGTCATGTCCGTAGCTGTGGACACAGGCTCGGCCTGTCCTCCTCCACCTCCTGCCTGGGTGTCCCCCATGCAGCACAGGTGACAGCTGATTTCACATGCACCGGCCGCCGACAGCCCGGGGAAAAGGCCCTTAAGCCACAGCTCCGTCCAGACTTTCTCAGGTGGCTTGAGGGCTCCCTGGGTCAGCCCTTGAACCGGAGCTCAGAGTGGGAGCGGTGCCAAGGGCTGGGCCCCCCCCCCAGATCGACATATGACCCAACTGACAGTGCAGCGTTTGCTACACAGCGGCTTGACAAGGCCCCTCTGCCTTCATTACCTGGCTACACGGCTTGAGTGCAGCCCTCCTACAAAGAAATCCTCGAGCTGCCTTATTGACAGAACGCTTAGTAAGAGTCAACCTCATCCCGCAAAGACCCCAGGGTTAGGGCTGGGGCCCGTGTGCAGAGCTGCCGTTCAAAAATGGTCCCAGGCAATTCTGAGGAAGTGGACCATCTTTGAGGAGCAGTGACCGTGGGTGGCCCACTTCTCCGGAACCTGGGAGCCTGAACCACCTGAAGAAGATTCTGGAGATCGAGGGCACCGGGTCCAATTCACCAGATAAGGAAGCCCTTGGCCCAGGCTCTATGGAGACTTGAGGCCGAGACAGATGGTTAGGCCGGGAGCTAGAAACACTCAGAGGCTCTAGAAAAACCACCCGCCCTGATGTCTCCAAAGGTGCATTGTGGGACGTGGTTGTGGAGTATGAACTTGGCTCCAATCTAGAATGGCCTAAATGTCATCTGATAGCTTACTAACAAGAAGCTTTATCAAGTTTAAAATGATAAAAGAGGGCCATTAGCTTAGAAACAGTCCCTGTAGGACCAAAGACAAAGAAACCAAGTGTGATGTTAGAAGCCAGCTGGGGAAGCGCGTTGAGGACCTCCTTTCGTGTGGCTGCTGTCTCCATGGGAGACTCCCATCCAGGAGGCCAGTGATTCTACTGACTTCTCACCCAACAGCCGCTGGGGTTATTGATACAAATCAAATTGTGCAGCCCAGTTTGGGTACGGCCTCGGAAGAGCTCTGCTATGAATCAGCTGCCTGTCCCTCCCCTGGTACTCGGCTGTGGGTTTCCAGAGTTGTCACAATGAAACATAAAATACTTAAGGCCTCAAGAGCTGCTTTTAATTAAATTGCCAAGTTTCCCATTGGGGTTATTTGCGAATTATGCTGCTTTCTTTTTTATGTGAAATGAGCATTGTTCCGTGGGAAACGCCGTGAAATCCAGTCTTCTGTAGGAGTTGGCCTGGAAGGGTGTGGACGTATGAAGCACTTTACTGTCCTGCTGCTGGGTTTCTGTGCCCCTGAGAGCACCAAGAGGCTGCCCGGCAAAGGGAGGGGGGTCTTTTGTCACTGGGGTGACTTGGCTTCATAGAGGCTGTGACGTTATTCCTGGAGATGAGACGGTGCGATTGACGGCCTGTCGTTGTCGAGAAACGTGAAGTGTTTTGGAAATCAGAAGTGGCTGTGCAATGTGTTTTCTGGTGCACCTGACCCGAACCAAAGTGCCTGCACGTGCGCGTGTGTGTGCACAGGCACCTGCGTGTTCTCCGGTTGTGAGTATTCATGCTTTGCTGCACGAGTCTGAACCACTGCAGACGTGTGGCACCTGCTACGTGTAGTGTGCTAATTTCTACGCTCCAAAAACGCCTGGGTTTCGGAGTGAAAGGTCTCAGTACACGGAGGCGTGTTCCGTGTTTATGGATGTCCTGTGGATACCCAGATGACCGGGCATTATTTATGAAAAACAGCATCCCCCCCCCCGTCGTTAGGCCCAGCTGCCTTTGTGCTAAGCCGAGCATCCAGGGAAAAAACTCGAAACCTGAGCTCTGCAGTGCCCCATGTCGGAAAAACCCACATCACTCTAGGCAAAGTGTAGACACAAGTGCAAACGGTTAACAATAAACCTGCCAGGAAATTCCATAGGACAAAATACCTTTATGGGTCAAAGCTGAACGTAAAAATGACTAACTGAGGGGCTCCTGGGGCGCTCAGTCGGTTAAGCGGCCGGCTCTGGGTTTGACCTCAGGTCTTGGCCTCGCAGTTTCATGAATTCAAGCCCCGCGTCGGGCTCTGCACACTGACAGCACGGAGCCTGCTTGGGATTCTCTCTCTCCCTCTCTCTCTGCCCCTCCCTGGCTTGCTCTCTCTCTCTCTCTCTCTCAAAATAAATACACTTAAAAAATTACTAACTGAAAAGGAAAATTGATCAAAATTAAGGACTTCTGCCAATTAGAAAGTGCAGGTGAGAGACAGGAACACACAGGGAGCGGGGCCTGTGTCTCTGGAGAGAGGAGCTGACCTGCTCCTTCCTTTCCCATCTTGCCAAGAATGACTAAACCCCGCCGGCCGTTACCTGCACGGCACACACACGAGAGGACCCCGCGGCGGGAGGAGGCAGACTGGTGGGGCCCTTAGTGTGAGGACAACACGGCAGAGGCTCCCCAGGCTCCCTCGGACTCGGGGCTGAGGAGCCAGCAGCCCAGAAGGACCGGCGGGCAGAGGTGAAGACGTCCCAGAAGAGCTGCTCTCTCCAGCCCAGGGGCCAGGAAGGGGGCTGCCTGGCCGGACAGACAACTTTCAGACAATAAGCACCCTGCTCGGTCGACACCCTCCCGCCTCGTGTCAGCGGTGACCCTGGGGGCAGCCGGTGACCCCTTGGCCCGGCAGCAACAAGGACCCCAGGCTCCCCACCAGGGACAGGTGCGTCCACCGTGCTGCCGGAGCACAGCCAGGGGGAGACAGCCAAATGCGAAGTTTGAGTAAGGTCGAGGCTCTCATAACGTGCCGTGAAACCACCCAGGCTTCAGCTGAAAATCACTCGTGGGGCGCCCGGGTGGCTCAGTCGGTTAAGCGTGACCCTCGGTTTCGGCTCAGGTCACGATCTCACAGTTCACAGGATCGTGCTCCTCGTCGGGCTCTGTCTGGGCTGATGGCCTGGAGCCTGCTTTGGACTCTCTCTCCCCCCCCCCAACCCCCGCTCCCCTGCTCATGCACTGTCTCTCAAAATAAGTAAATAAACTTAACAAAAAGAAAGAAAGAAAACCCCTTGTCCTCCCCAAAACAGCAAGACCTCAAGCCGAAGGAGGAGGACAGCCGGGGAGGTGCACTCTGCAGGGGCAAAGGTCGGGGACTCTCGGGCACGTGGGACAGCATCGCAATGAAAAGGCTTCGACAGGCCGCCAAGCACCGGTCACGCGGCTGCAGGAGAAGGCCTGGCACAGCCACCGCGGCCGGGAAGCGCCACGGGGCAGCGTCAGAATGAAAACACAACAACAAGCAGGGCAAAAGGGGCACGAGGGGTAAAACGCACAGTCAGAGGCTCAGCGGCAGGAGGGCAGGGGAGGGACCCGGGAAGTGGACGCTGCACCGGGAGGGACCTGAACAGCAGGGGGAAATGGACGCGGGGACAGCGAGGCTCCCGCGGAATTGCCGACACTCGTGTCCAGAGCGCGCGGGAAGGGAGAGCGAGGGCAGGCTGAACACAGCGCTACAAGACACAGTGGCCGAAAACGTCCCAAATCTGGAAGAGATACAGACCTACAAATGCAAGAAGCTGAGTGAACGAACGTCCAGCAGCGTGAGCCCGAGCCCACACCGGGACCCGTCACAGGCTTGTGTGAACATTCAGGATCGGGGGGAAGACTTGAAGGCAGCTGGAGAAAAATGACACTTAGCGAGGGGGGAAAACAATTAGAACGACAGCGGATTTCTCATCAAGAACCAGAAGCCACCGGAGAGAGGAAGCTGCGCACACGGTTTCAGGTGCCGGGAGGAACCACCTGGCTGCGTCCACACCCAGCAAGACACAGAAAGGGGAGAGGACAAGCTGGAGAGCCGGGACAGCAGCGGAGCTGTGACGCAGGCCTAGTCCGCCAGGGCACAGACACCACGTTCCAGGAGCACCGGGGAGATGATGAAGGAAGGCCGCGCAAACAGGCCGCGTACGCGGGATGGGCGTGCGTCCTCACCCTGCGTGTACTGAGTCCTGACAGCAGAGGTGAGATGCAAGCGTGGTCCGGGGGGGCTGTAACGAGTCGAGAGGGGACATTGCAGACCACAGTAGGAGGCAGATGTTCCGGAAAGTCAGCCGACCCGGAAAGTGGACTGTGTGGGCGTCCCTGGGATGTTACACCCAGAGCGGCCACGAGAAGGCTAGCCAAGGAGATGCTGTCAGATCACTTGCAGTCCTGGTGTCCGAGCCATCACAGGGCCCAGCAGGACCCGCGGCCGAGATCCCGGAGCCCGAAGACACGGGCAACGCCCGCACGGCGGACCCACCTTCCACTCTGCCTCCTGGGTCTGCCGCCCACGGTGTCCAGGAGCTTGAGTGTGGCTGGTCACCGGTGCCCTCCTTGCCACGGACACCTCTACAAACTTCTGAAGACCTGAGCGTCCTTACGTGACTCCAACACACATCCCGTGTGTGACTAGATGCCCAGATTGCCGGTCGGAGAAGGATGCACGCTCACACACGTGCGGATTTTATGTTTCTGAGCAGTTGTCTACCGACCTGATATCAGAGGGACAGCCCAGTCTTCTATTTTCATCAAATCATCGTGATCCAGATTGCCGACCCCTGGTTTTGTTATTACT